GATCGCGCGATCGGATCGCTTGGATCGCGCGATCGGATCGCGTGATCGAATCGCGCTACTGAGGGTGAAATTACTGCGGGAGGGGGTTATGTGCATATATGTTTATTGATCATGTTCTCTTTCTTTTCCTTCCTTCTTCGTAGATATTTGGAAACATTCCTTTAAAATTAGGAAGGCGTTCATGTACACAAAGGAAGAAAGAAGGAAAAGAGAGAGAGCAGGATCAATAAACATATACGCACATAACCCCCTCCCGCAGTAATTTCACCCTCAGTAGCGCGATCGATCGCGCGATCCGATCGCGCGATCCAAGCGATCCGATCGCGCGATCGCGAAGTCCGAACGCGCTCTTACGGTATTATCCGCCACTACCTACAGCACTTCCACTGGTACTTATAATATCAACTCGCCACTATAGTCAGTGTCTATGTCAACTCCATAATGGAGATGAATACGCAATTTTCAGCTTACGACTCAGACACCCTAGACAGAAAAATCGGAAATAGCTTAAACATACCTCCTCTTTCGTAAAATACCATTTGTAAATACTGCCCTGTGTTCCTTCTGAAGAGCTGCTACCCGGAAGTGAACACATTGGATCTTCAAATCCGAACTGGAATTTTGTCAACTTCACGCACTGATTTCATTCGAGCAGCCATAACAGAGAGACGAAAATATAAAGATGGACAACATTCAAAGCGCTACTCCACTGTAGGTATGTCTCGACAGATTGCCAATACAAATGTAAGCTTTCGTTAAATTTTGTACTTCAACTAGTGTGTGCAATAGTTATGTCGGCGTACGCTGACACAAAGTATCGCAGCCCTAGACTCGAGAACTCATTCAAGAGCGAAAGGGATATGTATTTAGGCCAGAAGTGGTACACCGATTTTAAAAAAAGGTCTGATACTTACTTACGAAAACCACCGTTCCATGCGAAGAAAAAAAATAAAATCTATAATGAAATAAAGATCTGTTCTGCATGCAGAAGAAAGTAACAACAAAAAAATAAGAACAACTTTTCTGGCAAGAGCACAATGGAAAGACTTTACACACGGGTACAGTGTCCCAAAACAGTATTAAATGAACTCTTCTGCAGCGCAAAATCGCAACTAGTTCAGCTTATTCAGCTTCACTGGTTGGTACTGCTACTGCTTGCAAATTAAGTATTATCTCATGCTGACCACTTTCAAAAGCATGTTCTGAAGCCGCAGAACCATTACTTTGGTTTCTTCTCGTTGAAAATGTCGCGAAGTTCTTTAGAGAATCCATTTTAGGCACAGGAAGTTCACGAACGATCCAACAATCAAAGGAGGTGTAAATGAGCCTCTTTCGAGAAGCTGCTCTCTTCCTCCCTTCCTGTTTCAATCCGTATCTTCTTCCTCCTCTTCTTCTTTCGTCCCTTACTTCCTTCTCAACTGCTTTCCCTCACATTAAGCTCTGTCAAACAACAAAAAAAAAATCGTTTCTGCTTATGACAAAGAAATTCTTCACAAATCTTGTAATTTTTAATCCAACACCCTGTCTTCTGCCGGAGTTTATTCTACCATATTTCTTCTTCCTATCGTCACCATCCCACCGCTGTATGGAAAACAAAAATAGAATTTTCCACTGCGCGTGCTCATGCTACCCCCTCAGCATTGATATTCGAATATCTCCACTTCACGAACGCACAGATGAAACACTACAACGCCATGAGCAATTCTGCCCAGTAATTGCTACTGTCAACTGAACTTGGCCTTCAAAGAAACTGCTGAACCCGTAGCTTCCTTTGATGCTTTTTCAGCTATCAATCTACCTGGATCCAATCACATTCTAAGCGAAACTGCACAAACGCTCAAGAACAACCCGTGTAGATATCCAAAAATTTGATTTCATCTGAATCCGAAAACGGAAGCAGAGATGCTACTGCTGTGCTTCATATTCATTAGTTAGATGCTTCAGGAAACAGAACAGACCTCTATCCATAGCCGAAGCGAAAAACTACAATTTTCGGAGTGTTCAGTCAAGTCAGCAGCACCCTAACGTCATGGAATAAACAAGGAATTATTCTTTCAACTAAAACCTTTCTCAAAAACACACCTACGCCAAAACCACTCAAGAAAAGCTTAAAAATCACAGAAGAACGCCGTGATGACGCACCGCGCGTCCACCTGCCGCGACGCTTCGTTTATGTGCCAAGACTGCGTGGCTGCCCATAAAGCGTGTCTCAGCGTCCTCATAAACCACAGCAGTGGGCAGTCATGCAGTGACAAAAATTTCCTGCAAACGCGTGCGCCGGGCGAAGCGTCTTGGCGGTAATTCAAAATCTCTTGTTGCTCCACCTCTTTCCCAGGCGAGTATCTCGCAATACCGGCTGTGCCCGTTCAGTGGGAGGGGTGGGCGGGCGTTGGCTAGGAGGAGAAGGCGTGGCCGTGAAGCGAGTAAGGGTGCAGAGAGGGGAGTTAGTAGTGCCCGGACAGCTTCTATGTAGAAGCCGTCCGCGTTTCCTCACCTATCATACTCTACAGAGTAGTTCTGTTCAGTGCTGAGACGTACATCCCATCACAATTTCCACCCTTACCTTCAATTCGGGCCCTAATATGGCTGCTATGCGCGAACGATGAGCGATGCTGGTTCGGTATTGTGGGCCATCACGATGGCCTTACTGTCAATTGTGACAGTAGTCGGCAATTTAGCCGTACTACTCTCATACTACCTCGACAAGAACATTCGTCATCCGTCCAACTATTTCATATTCTCACTAGCTGTATCGGATCTGGTAAGTGGTACTGCTACAGTGAAGCTTGGTAAACTGTTCATGTCTATAGATGGGTTTGATATCAAAAACCCAAAATATCTTTGCTCAGTAAGAATTTTTTCGGTGCAGAGGTCCGCAGTCGTATTGAGAGATGCTCCGTCGTGGATGACCCTTTTTCCAAGTGAGAACGGGTTCCCGCATTTCGTGGGATATTAGCCACCCATTTTGCTCCTTTTTTCTCATTTCTCTTCGTCAAAGGCTCCCTTTTGCCTTTATTCTAAAACCTACCTCACTGACAAGTCCCTGGTTTGAAGAAATAATAGCGGTTCGAACGAAGCAGGGAGGAGATGAATTATCTGTTTTCTGGAGTACTTAGTGATGCCTTCTTCCCCTCTGACTTGGTAGAGATCTTCTACTACGAATTGGTTGCAGACCTCTGCTACACCTGCTTTACTTTGTCAACAACTGTGTAGTTGCGCAGAGTCGGTTGCTGATCGTTGTCAAATGATAGTAGAGAAAAAAAATTAAAGTTCAACGTCGCTCTGAGAAAAAGAGAATATTCCGCTTTCGAACAAAATGACATATCGAAATCGAACCTATTATTCAAACAGGCACTTAAAATCGTTACCACTAATAATTACAGAGTTTGGTAATGTTCTCGTTAATCTGTACTTTTTAACTCCGTTAACCCATCACTTTCCTTCTGCTCTAGGGTCTTTATGAAATTTGCCACATCGGATTTCAATACGGTTTGCATCAAGAACATGAACCTATCCTCCAGATCATGTCAATTTTCTGCTCTCGCCTGCGTTCTCTTGACTAGATAGAGATGTGATGATCGAGCACTTTGCAAATTCACATGTGACAACTGGCTCACCCATATCCCAGCCCATGGAGGTGTGTCCACGCTGTTGTGGGCGATTCGTCAACCGCCTGCACCTTATCTGCCCACATTCTCGCCTTTTGCGACAGTATCGCAACAAAAAGTTCCAGTGCTCACGTAACCAGGTAGGGGTAGTCATGTGCTTCCAGGTAAAAGCTGAACTTTACCTGCAAGAAAGAGTTCGTTAGGGAGAGGAACTCAAGCGGAACGCTTTCAAAGTATTAAGGAGTTAAGGGAACACATATGATTACCTTTGTATCTTATTCGTGCCAGCTATTTGGCCTCATTGGGCTAAGAATTAGGTTTGGTGAGCGTGCCAATCTCGAGGCGGCAGCAGCCGCAAATTGCCCTCGATGCTGCGCCGTCAAACGGATTTCGTTATGAATTTACGGAAACGAAGCATTTTTATCGATCAGCGTAATGTTCAGGTCACAACATTTCTACCTTGGTTCGAACCCAATGGGGCCATCGCTGGCCTCCACGGGTTAGCCATGGTTCTACTTCTGGCACTTATACACCCATTAACAAGGGTCGCTATGGGGATATGGCATAGTGAGGTTGAAAAAGCCATCAAAACTTGAACGGTAGAAGTAATTAATAGTCATTAAGTTCGCTGGAAAGTGACAAATTTAGGCTGCTCAGACATTTTAGCTCGCTCCAAGTGGGGAGGGGGGGGGGGTGGTGAGGCAAACGGAGACCCATTTCGACGCGCATAAAATCAATAGTCCTTGAATGTCCACAGGTCGGGACAGACAAAATAATGGTATGTTCGATTATAAAAGCAAAAACAAGACGGAAATATGACTGCTGGGTTCAAAGTCGCTAGCGCAGCTGTGGGGGGCCGCGCTGGGACGATCAGTGCTGCTCTCCTGCTCCTCTTCCCGAGGCAGTAATGTGGACAACCACTCTCGCGGCATGGCCTCTTCAATTACGGGACCGGCTGAAGTTTCTCCTCCCTGATCAATCTTTGTGGCCTTCTGCGACTCGGAAGGTGCGTGTATTCCGCAATGTGAGCGCAGCTGAGCCAAGAAAACCGCTCGAATTTTGCTGGACGCTATTCTAATTAAGGTATGCATTTTGGTGCGCACCGCTCAGAACATTCACATCCACTAAAAACATCTGTCTGATACTACAAACTGGGAAAAAATTTTTTGCCTAGGTCTAAGAGCTCCTAGAGTCTGTCCCCCCCGA